GGCCCCCCACGTTTGGCCTTTTATGGTCATCCTAGAACTGTCATGGCGCCCCGCAGGTGTGTCATGTAGCGTGCTAATATACTAGAATGATCCTATAATGAGGCTCAAGGTCTACTGGAAGTCGAATCTTTCGCCATTGGGCTGAGTTCTCCTCAGTTGCTGTGTTATTCTTTTAATGGTTGTGCCCTGCCGCCTTGTCTCCTGTCTCAAACTAGTCCTGAAATTGGCAGGTGACTTTGGTCGTCGCACGTTTCCCAGAACAGACCCTTTTCACCCTTACAAGAAGGAACCAGTGCATGTGTTAGCTTTTCTACCTGTGGCTCATGGATATGGGTGCTGAGACTGGGATGGGTTACATGCCTTGTCCACTGAGGTCACACAGGATCACAGCTACATTACTACTCAGGTATGTGTGACTCCAAGACTGTGGTCTTTCCAGAGCCCGCAGTGTCTTACACTGTGTCTCAGTAAGCTGTCAAGGGCCGTGGGGACTAGGGACCCGGGGGTGACTTGGACCTCAGCTGTCCTTGGGATGAGTCTGGAGATGGATTAGAGAGGGAATTGTCAGATAGAGAGGGTGGGGAAGGGTTGGAGGGCCAGAGGAAAACCGGAGGGGCCGGAGGAGGGAAGGGGAAGCCTGGAGGCCACTGCCCTCATCAAGGTGAAAGGTCATGCAGGAGGCTGGAGGGGTGGAAATCTGAGCTAAATTAACAATGCCCTGGAGGCTGATGGGAGGGGCCAGGCCGAGAGCGGAGGGTGCCTGGGGGGGTGGTAATGCTGCCTCCCTCCCCCAGTGATTTCAGTGACATTTTTAACACACAGAATTTCCCTAATACATAAAATGGCTTTCTAAATTGGTGTCTTTATTGAAGAACATGTTCATTCTGGAAGGAAAAATTACTTAACACAGCACAGTTTTCCATGAGCTACCATTCCAGCCAAATATCTTCTCACAGAAGTGCTGACCTTTCTTGCCCCTGGGCAAGGTGCAGGTCTCAGGGCTGAACCTCTTTTCCGACCTGGGGAGGTCTCTCAAAGACCCCGATGTAATTGCAGGTGAGGAGTTGGTCTGTCCTTTCTGCCACTGTGAAAAAAGGCGGTCCAAGAAATATTGGTCAAACGGGCCCCCAAAGGAAAAGGAAAAGACCACCCTCATCGTCTCTGTTCGAGGCACCGTTTCCACTGCACACCACCCGGGGCCCCCATGTGAAACCCTTGCAGTTTCTTTGCATGTCCTCCTTGTGCAGGGGCCATGCTAACCTCTGTATCGTTCCAATTTTAGTATATGTGCTGCCGAAGCAAGCGCCAGACTTTTTTTTCTTTTTAGTCCAGGAAAAAGAAAAAAAAATTTTTTTTTTGGTGTCAAGAAGAGTTTTTATTTCCCTTAGAAGCTGACATTCTTTTTTCTTTGAAAATAGCATGGGGTCAGGTAATTGATCCCATTTCCCTTCTTACTTTGGCCGCTGGAAGATAGGAGTCAAATCTGTAGTTTATCTGCAGTAACTTTTTAGTACCCATGACCTGCATATCCATGCTTCATTTTCCATTTTGTCTTTTTGTACCTTCATGAGTATTTTTGTTTTTCCTAGTTCTGAAAACAATACAACTGTTAAAAACCTGGGAAGTACAGAAGAATTTAGATAAGGGGGGAAGATCTCCAGAGAGCCCATTACTCATGTGTATCACCGTAAATGGTTTGGTATCTTTTTTCATTTTTTTTGTTCCATTTTCTTCTTCTTTTTTAAAAAAGATATACATTTTATTATTTGGATTTTTCCCTTAACGGAGGCACTGGGGATTGAACCCAGGACCTCGTGCATGCCAAGCACGTGTTCTACTACCAAGCTATACCCCACCTTGTTCTGTTTTCAAACATGAAAACTGTATAGAATGTGTGTTCATGGAATACACATCAATAGGCACATTGAATATATATATATATATATATGTATATATATTTCCCCTTACCCCCAAAAGAGAAACTAGACTTTTAAACAGCAGAGAGAGAGTTTCTTGAAGGGGACTCAGCAGGGCGAGACATCAGGGAGGAGGTGGGAGTAGTAGGGAAGTGGGGATTAATCTAGCTAAACTGCGGCTCCTGGCAAACAGTAAGATTACACTGAGAAATTCGAGAAAGGAAATGACTCAGGAACTCTAGCGAGGGAGAAGGGATGAGACAGCTGTATGAAAGAGCGTGTGTTTTATCCTGCTTTTGGGAATGGGTGAGGGGAGCTAAATGATTTGAACAATAAGGGACTTCAGTTTTCAAATCAAATCATAAGCAGTGGATTAAATTCTCGTGAGCAATGCCCTTGCTCTTGGCATTCAGACGGGGAGCTCCCTAGACATCGCATAAACTGAATTCTGGGGCGAAGCTGACGTGGGGTTGCCTGGTCTGCAGAGGCTGGGAATTAGAGTGGCTCTCTTCTCGGAGTTCTTTCCGAGCAAGAGAACTGCTCACTTCAGAAAGGCTCCCTCTTGTACTCCAGTCTTTGGGGAATACAGTGAGTGACACTTTTAATTAACAAATCCGCTGGGAACAAAACTCCTTTAAAAGTGTTGGCTGGGTGTGGAGTTTGAAGGGTGGGCTGCGGTGGCTCCCATGGTCCTGGGGGAGTTCTGGGGCTTGAAGCCACGGCTGAGTTGTACAGCTCTGGGGTCAGATCTCTCGGGATGAGGGCCAAGGCGTCCACCCAGAAAGCCTTGCACGCTGTGGGTGAAGGCTGGTCAGCCGTGCTGGCAGTCCACACGCATGCGGGGCCCATGTATCACTCGGGTGTGAGCCTTTCTGCCTCCCCAGATAGGGGAGCCCCAGCCCACATGTTCAGAATGGGAGGGGCGAGTGGAGGACCAGCATTTGGGAATGCATCAGTACAGTTCCTGTATTTTTCCTACCACTGACAGGTAGCTGAGTGTCTGTTCCCAGCAGTGTCCTTATATGCCTTCCACCATCTGGTGTACATCACTGCATTCCACCGGGGCTGTGCTTATGCTGGTCCTGACACACTGTCGATACCCATGGTGTTAGAGGGTCTAAGAAAGGCCCATGAAAGAGAAAAGGATTCCTCCCTTTCTGGTACCACAGTGGAAAGTATTCATGTAGGACACGCCTGCCTTGGAAAACACGTTTTAATGAGTCCTGAAGGAATAGTCAGTCAAAGGGTTTCTCATCTCTAATTATTTGCTAAAGGGAGTTTACTTAACTCTGACATCCTCCTCATCAATCGGTCCCTCACTCTGAAGGCCTGTGACAAAGTCTCTGAGGCTGGCTATTTGTTTCCACAGGACCAAAAGTGGACAAAAGGATTTTACGAAAGCTCTAAACAGAATTACAATGGTTATACTGAAGGTGGAACTAAGACCACTGTTTCTTTATGCTTAGGCAGTTGATGGAAGTATCTAGTTTGGTGTTTACCCCTTATGTTTTCTTAACAAGATTGTCTTAGCTCTTTTATTTTTATTCCTCTCAGTTTATCTTTGATTATTTTTAAAGACCACTGATGACTCCTACACTACGAAACTTAATTTTGCCTTCTTTACCAAGGCTGACTTTAAAAAAAAAACAACACACTCATTTTAAAGGTCTCCTTGGGAAAACACAAGTTTTCTCTTGAGGCAATGAATGAGTTCCCTATGGTAACAACTTCCATCCTGGGATGAAGAAACCTGAAGAACTTTAGCAGTGGCAGAATTCAGATGTGAGGAGACGGAAGCAAAAGAAAAAACATAAGACTCCAATGCTAGAGATTGCACTGATTTAGGATTAAGTCTAAATACTAATAGTGGTTTCCTACATTAAGGATTCAAGGGAAGCCATTGTTATTCGAAAGTAAGGTGTGTTTAACAGAAAGAGCAATCGCGCTCCTTTCCCTGTGGATCTAGAAGGGTCTACAGTGTGTGGGGTTGACATGGCCCTTTGGTTTGGGAGAGGCAACCTAGCTACATTCAGCTTCTGCTATCAAAGTTGTGTTTGATACATGAAGGAAGATCTCTGATACAGTTCATAAAGCAGAGTTGTGGCACCAAATGAACACGCTCACCTTTGAAAGAAAAACGTAATAAACTCTCAAAAAAGATAGAGTATACGGAGTAACCCAAGGTCTATGAGGCACCAGGGATGACTTGTGATGTGGTCTGGAAGGAGGCAGTCAAAGCTGGAGGACCCATCAGTCTTTCTAAGGACACTCTTGAAACTCTGGGCAGAAGCTGATTAAGTCATGATAACAAACGCTGGAAGTTGTCCATGACCAAAAGTCTAATCCCATCTTTTCCTCTAGAAACCTTTATGGCTCGGTATCTGGGTTTCTCCATAATCTGGCACTTCCTACACTTACTTCCTGCTCCTCTGTTCTCCAGCTACACAGTTGTTCCCCGGCATGGTGGAACAGAAGCTTCTTGAGGGTTTTATTTATTACCTATGTGGAGCTCGGTGTCTTACCCCTAGTAATATGATGTCAGTAAATGTCATGTTTATGAGGTTGGCTTCAGGGCCTGTCTTTGGCTGAGGACAGGAGGAAGTGTCCTCATTATGTCAATTACATGAGCCGGGAGGGCGTGGGAGGGCTGGCCGGCCGGAGAGCACGGTCCTGCACTGGGAGAGGAGTTCACACTGTGGTATCTCAGTAACTGGGTGGCCGTGAGCTCTGAGGGGCTGGAGGACGTAGGCTCCTCGGGCTGCGGGGAGGTGTGCTGGGGCTTGTCTGTCTCTGGTAAGGCAGAAAACTCTTAAGAGGGTGTTTGCACATAGGGGCAGCTGGGATGGCTAGGTCATGGAGTTGTGTTCAGAGAGTCCTCTGCAAAATCCCCAGTGTAGCCCAATTTGAATGGCGGATAAGTGGGCAAGCCAGACCTTGGCTGAAAACAAACAATGTGTCAACCACTTGTAAGCAGATCCTAAGGGAAGAAGAGCCAGCATCATTTAACTGTTGCATTGTTACTGGTGATGGTGATAATGATGATGATGCTGACAATTAAAAAGATAATTGTTTTCCTTCTTTTAGTCACATAGAAAAAATCACCACGTGGCAAGACCCTAGGAAGGCGATGAATCAGCCCCTGAATCATATGAACCTCCACCCAGCTGCCACTACCACACCAGCGCCCCAGAGGGCCATGGCCGTGTCCCAGCCGAATCTCGGTAAGCTTTGACTCGGATAAACAAATGCTCAACCAAGAGTCTCTGAAGCTCAGAAGCAGCTCTGGTTGCTTCAGTGCCCACCCATGCACCCAGATAGCACATCTTCTTCCCTCTTGGCTGTATCGCTGTCTCACCGCCCTTGCTTCCTTTTCTTGGCGTCTTGGTTATGCGGTTCACGGTACTGCTACTCAGGTTTACACTGTAACTCCAGCATCCTTTCCAATTGCCTTTAATGGAGTTCTTTGAAAAAATCACTTAGGCCTGTTGTCTTCATCCAGACCAAGGCAGGTAGGACACTTAGCCCCTTTCTGTGAATTTGGTCCCTGAAGACTGCCAAAGGGTACATTGCTGGCCTCACGTCTGACACCTGACACCAGGCTAGGTGTTTTCTTGCCTTACGTCATTCAGTCATCACAACAACCCTACAAGAAGTGACAGCATTCCCATTTTATAGATGCAGAAACTTTCCCGAAGTCCCAACTTCTGGATAGTAGAGCTGGAGTTGGAACTAAAATTGGTCTGATTTTAGACCCTTGGAGAATCTGTGGGTGGCTTCCCCTCATACATGCCCCAGCCTAGGACAGCTCATGTTTCCCTTCATTTTGAATGTGTAAGTATGATTTTCCACACGAGGCGAGATTATTTTCTGCTAATTGCCTTTACCTCAAAAGGAATACAGTTCTGCCCACCACAGATAATCAGATGTGAATGAACACACTCCAGCCACAGAACCAATCAGCTTTTGTTGTGGCCATTCTCCCCCATCCCCAAAGGCTAAAAATAAGAAGGCCAATTTTAAGGGTTTTTTTTAGAAGATGGTGCCATTTTCAGATCATGTTTCCATTTAAGATCAGTTATCCAGATACTGCTTTATACACAGAACAGTTAATTTTAGAGAGGGAAAAGAATCTCCTGTTGGATTTTCAGGAATGAACAGGATAAAAATGGAAGCATTTTTCCTAGACACCCTTCCCTTATACTGCGGCTTAGCCACAGCGAGTATGAACTCAAGGAGACCTGAGTCAGCTCCAAGTAAATATATGGTCTCTTCTTCCAGCAAGTCCGGATCTACCATTTTAAAGCTTGCAGATGTAAAATATATACAAAACAGCAATTGACCTGGGATAACCTCTGTTGTGTTTCATACCTAAAGGGCAGATCAAGAAAAATGGTGCCAGTGCTTCCCATGAGTCATTTTTCCTCAACATATGTGAGCCCAAGTAGAAAGCAGATGTGCGTGTAGTGAAGAAACCACAAACTGAGTAGCGTTAGACTGGTTTCAGGGTTTCTTTAACCATTTACTTTCCATTAAAAAGTCTAAAAATTGGTTATTAAATATTAACGTTTACTTTATAATTGATCACAATTGGAGAAATCTTTCATGGATCTGGCTAAAAACATTCGAGCACTTTTTCAAAGGAGTGTGCAAAAAATAAGCCTTAATCTGATGCCCATTCCTCAGTCCCTCATGTGTTGCCTGGAGCCTAGCAGTGATTCCAGTCACATGTGTGTTATATCCACTCTTCCGCACCTTACATTTCCCGCTTCTCTATCTGTACACACAGAGCTGCCTCATTCTTTTAAAAAACTGCCTAATGTTGATATGCTATAATTAGTTTATTTAACTAGCCTCCATCTGATGGCTATTTAGGTTGTCACTGGTATGTTACTTGTGTGCCCAATGCTGGAATAAATATCATTGTTTATTCTCTTTTATGTACTTTTCTTAATTATAAAAAGTTGTGCAACAGATAAGAAATGGACTAAGTTAAAATAAGGACCTTGAATGCTAAAAACTTAATACTGAAGGCACATGTGAGTCTGTCCCTCTCTGCCTCCCCAAAAAAGCCCAGTTGCTGGTAGAGTTGGTAATCTGAAGTCTGAAGCAAGCTTACTTGTGGCTGAATAAAATATCTTACTTTCCAGATTTCTAATAAATTGGGACAGTAAATTTCTCAGGACACACATTGTGGGGGTTTTCCAATAATAGATGAGTATGTGCCCCATTACACGTGTGTTGCTAGCCTCTCGAGAATCACATGTGTCCGAAGGTTGGAAACACAACTGGGAATGCAAAGTAAGTTTCAAAGTCCAGGAATAATTCACAATATGGTCCTAATAATAAATGATTTGCTCAGAATATTCTATTTCAAATTACAGCTCTGCTTATAGTTTATACTCTGTTATCAATCTCTAAAAATAGAATAGATCCCTTCTACTTTTCTTTTCCTTAAGATTTTGTATGTGGTATTTTATTTTCATTATTTTAGAAATAATAGGCACACATCTGTGTTTATATTTATTATACCTATGTCATACATACTGGTATATATATAAACATACTTAGAAAGTCAATATTTTGAATATGATTCAAAATTTCTATGTCTTAAAAATTTCAATGTCTATTTTACATCAACTGCATTGTTCTTTCCTTTTTACCTTTTGACCAGAGCAGATCCTTCCCCTCCTCCTATTTCTTCTTAAATCTAGAATTTTAGTCTTTTCAATGGAATATATCTGACAAAAAAGTAAACTTCACTGATAGGTATGAGTATATGTGAAAATGATGTCAAAATATAGTTAACATTGCTATCAGGTGATAGAATTAGTACCTTTTGTAAGCTAGTGTTATGTATTTCTAGAGATATGAGGTCATCAGTGACATAGCAAAATACATTTAACAGTAAGTCTCCTTATTTTGCCATTCTTTGTTTTTCTGTAGGTAAGATACGTGAACTTGGGCATCAGACAGTCAGAATCTGAATTCTGGCTCTGCCTATTGGTGACTTAATCGTGCCTCAGTTTCTCCATGTGTAAAATGAGGGTTATTTTTATAGTATGAGGAGATTGTGTGAGTTTGTAAGTAAGATATGTAGATCCATGCCTGGCACATAATGAAAAGATTATCATAATTGGTCTTTGTGGAAAGAAAGGTTTTATATTTTATTTAATTATAGAATGTTAGATTTGAAGACAATTTCATTGTTCATCGTGAAAGCTCTCAAGGGAAAAAAAGATTTCAGTCTGGTTAGAGTACAACACACTTTAAATTAGGAACACTATTTCTTACTTTAAGTGAAAATAGCGCACCCTGGTGGGAATGTTTCAATCCGTTTCACCCCTCGCTCCCCTGCATTCCCCAAGAAACTTCTTTTGTTTTTTTTTGTTTGTTTGTTTGTTTGTTTTTTAAGTGGAGGTACTGGGGATTGAACCCAAGACCTCATGCATGCTAAGCATGCGCTCTACCACTGAGCTATACCCACCCCCCTCCCAAGAAACTTCTTGACCGTGGATCTCTTATTTTTTTCAATAGATCTATTCCTGAAATGTGGCCTTTAAGTCAAATGATACTTTAATTAGGAGAGAAGAGACCTATCACTTAAAGGCATCCTGGAGTGAGTGACTTTGTGAAGGTCACTTTGTGAGCATACTTTTGTCAAGCTGCCTCAGAACGCAGTGAAAAGCTTCTAGTAGGGTGTCTAAGCTCACTCTCTTTTCAAATGCCGAAGTGAAATGAAATAGATGAAATAGACTCGAAGGGGTTATTTCAAACAGCCGTCTCTGGCTTGATCTAATTTTTATCTGAAATTTTTGGTTCTGTATTTACTAAATCAGGTTGTCTGTCAGGTTTCATCCAGTTTGATTCTGTCTGAGCAGCTTGGTCCCTTTGGAGTCTGAGTCCCTGGGGATCCTCAGCGAATGGAAGAAGAAAGGAAGGTCTTGGAGACTTTAGATAGTGAAGAGGAGCGCTCAACGCTGGGTGGAAGCTGTGTCACTTGGGGGCTGGCAAGTTATTTGGAATCCTCACTTTTATGTAACACAGTCAAGGGGGAAATTATACATGTGAAAGCTGATTGTTTTCATAACACAAACCAGGTAGGATCTCATGTCTTTTAAGTAGGTTGTTGGGGTGATAATTACTATTAATACTCACGACATTTTTTTTTGAAGGAGGGGAAAAATTGAAACATGAAAAAAAAAGACTCTATTCAGGCCCTATAATATATAGAACAGTGGGCTTGGGGAAATGGAACCTAAGGAAATCAGTGAGGGTGTTAGGGTGTGAGGGGTTGGGGTCGAGGGCTGGGACCTTTCTGAATAATGGTTAATGGGAAGACTTGGAGCCAGAACTAAGCTCCTCCTGGGTTAGACATTTACTAGTTGTGTTTGTTATTTAACCTGAGTGTCATTTTCCTTATCTGTAATATGATACAGATATAAAAGCTGTTTTGACCATGTAGGTCGTCCATGCCTTGGTACCTGGCATAGAGAAAGCCCCAAGGAGATGTGTTGCTATGACTGTTATTATTAGCTGGTAGTCTGGTTTTTCTTCACTTTTCTGGGCCCCATGGAGTTGGAAGAAGAGCCTGTGCTGTGTGCCTTAGAAACCCATCCTCCTCCTCCTCCTCCTCTTCCTCCTCCTCCCTTGGGAAAACCCAACCACGATCCCTGCAGCTTTTAGCTTTTTGGCACTTCTGCTTACACAATGCAAAAATCATCCTTCACCCCAGCAAGTGATTATGAGAAGATGAAGAGCCACACAGTTGTGCCCCAGTTCCTTCAGGGACAGAGGGAATTTGGGAAGAGCAAGGTCACTTCTAGCTCCACTTCCAGAACCTTATCCCTCTGCAAGAGTGACGGGGTCAAGGTTTTCCCATTTCTCAGCACACAAATACTCAAATCCTGCAATAACTTAAAATCTCCCCATATTTTAAAATGGTTTTACCAAGAGAAAGTGACAGGCCATTTTGCCTTTATGGTGATAATCCTGGTGATTATAAACCATGGGGAGCCAGGCTCTTGTCATACATTTATGGACCCTCTTTGTTGGAACAAGGCCCCGACCTGGGGTGCCAGCATCCTCCCAGACAGGACAGGAAAAATAAAGATTGTATAACAACTTCACCAGACTGCCAGCCCTAGCCAGTTCAAAAACTTCTGGTAAAGTGCAGCCAGAGTGTATTTTTAATGCTATAGGAATTTTTAAAATATCACACATG